ACTAGTTGCACAGGGTCACAGTCAGTGAACTCTTAACTTGATAAAGAAAGAAAAAAAAAAGGAAGTCGACTTCCAAACTAAAATAAAATGTATATAAATATAGAAAATTGTTATTAGCTCTCCAAAAATCTCATTTGGCACTCCAAACTTTCTATAATCAGAAAGAAAAATACACTTGTGCAGAGTGTAAAATGAGATTTTTGGAGTGCTAATAACAGTTCCCTAAATATGTCTTAACAAATATTGTACGAGGCATTGACTTAGACTTTTGCGAATAGACTTAGAATTTCTGGTATCTAATAAATATCTAGATTGAAAATATTCATCGATCTACAAAATTTTCTCATGGAGGTACCCATTTTTTTTGCCACAAATACCAATATAGAGGCTAAAAGACAATATGATATTAAATTCATATGCGGTCGAGATATTTATGAATTTAATCATTAAAATGCATAAGCTCAATTATGCATTCAAGTTAGATCAATTCCCGAAGTTCTGGTCAACAATAAAACTGCTTACCTATGAGTTCAACTATAAAATGTGCAAAAGCGATATACTTTTTAACCACAGTTCTATGTATTGTGAATTTTTGTCCTCAACTTTTGTGGCATATAGAGGCTAAAAGATACTACGATATTAAATCCATATATGGTCGAAATATTTATCAGTTTAATCATTAAAATGCATAAACTCAATTACACATCCAGGTTAGATCAATTCCCGAAGTTTTGCTCCACAATAAAAACTGCTTAGCTATGAGTTCGCCTATAAAACGTGCAAAGACGATATACTTTTTAGCCACAGTTCAATGTAATGTGAATTGTTGTCCGCAACTTTTGTATCTAATAAATATCCACAGTTAAAAATATTCATTGATATACCAAAAGTTATCATGGACATACCCATTTTTCTACCACATATAGGAATATAGAGACTAGAAGATTCTCATTTAATTGAGACATACCAAACTCATTAAACACTATAACCAGAAGCTCATACCAATTATTAAGCTAATTAGTGCTCTAGAAATTTAGAGATGTCAAATGATGAAGAGAAGGAAGAGGAAGAGGTTTGGATGACTACGGAGGAGTAGATGAGGGTGCAGAATGACAACCATGGGAGATGGAAGGATTTTTTAAAGAGAGAGAGAAGGGGATTTGCTTCATGAAGATGATGGATTGGTTATGGTTTTATTTTTTATTTTTAAGTAGATTGAGTTGGGTGTAAAAAGAAGTTTGATTGAGTTGAGTTTTGATAAGTAATGGCGGTTTCGGAAATAATGTTGGGTGTAAATAGATAATAATAGATAAATCAAATACAATATAGATATAAAAAGTAAGCTAAATGTTGAGATACAAAATATGAATTCAAATAAAATTTCTCATTTTTTAATAATCAATATGGGCTATAAGTTGCGCAAAACCTACACATGAGGACTTAAAATAAAAAATAAAAAATAAAAATAAAAAAATAAAAAAATTACACATGAGGGTAACTCATTCGAGGAAGGTATTTTTGGTATTTTGACTCTTTCTGACACGTATTTAGCTCAAAATATTAGACTTCCAATTCTTTAATGCCTGTGAAATCGAAGTTAATGGTTTAATAAAATATGTCACATTATTTGGTTTATGATTATCACATAACTTTTTTTTCGATAAAAATAATAAGCTAACGGTTTCTTTGCGATAGTTTATATTTTTAGGGGTTGGGAACACTTACAAAGATAGTTCAGCCTTCTCTAACCATGATCGTGTAATTCACCGATACAAAAAATTAAACCAAAAACATGCCGTGTGAAAATCTTAAATGCTTTTATAATTATGAATCCGTATGATTCAATATTTTTTTAATGACATCTTTAATTAATCTATCATTCAATTTTATTTCTTTCTTGTTTGTTTTTCTCTCTTGGCAACATAGTAGACAAAATCAAAAACCAAAGCATGTTACATCTCGCATGCTAGTTTTGTCCCTGATCCATCTAAGCGTCGTACATGTTTAATATATCTATTGCAAACCTAATTTTATTGCTAATGCGTTAAAGAGTCTCATTCTACAATTTTATTGATCGGGCCTCACTTGGTTGGCGTCATCTACGAAAAAAAAGAATTATAGGTTACATAACTGACATTAAATAATTTCTTGCAAGCCTTGCTTCACTATCAAGTCTATCATCTTATGAGAAAATAATGATAGGATTAGGCGTTTGTCTTGGAACGCCATGTCACAATCTCTCTTTTACTTCTACTCCCTATCCGATCTAACACTTCCAATTTCTCATCAGATCAAAGTTCAAACCAGAGATCGGTTCATAGAGATTCAGTAAATATTAAATTCCGTAGGCAACAGATTAAAAAAGGTTGTAATATTGGGTGCCGATCGGTAACACTATTTTTTTTTACTCACGTTTTTAGAGCCTACTTCTTAGTGTATTTTAACGATCTGAATCGTCTATCTTTTTTATCTCCACTCAAAGATTATGTTCAACAAATCACTCAAATATGAAATTACTTCACCATCAGATTAAGGGTTTAGCACTCCAAAAATCTCATTCTACAATCATCACAAGTATATTTTTCTTTCTAATTATAAAACATTTAAAATACAAAATGAAAATTTTGAAGTACCATTAATAATTCCCATAAAAATTGTGTAAAAATGTTATCGCCGATCTGTCCCAATAAACAAAAGATACAGATCGACTAAACATTATAATTTTGTCGCTCTCACTAAAATAGAGTACAAATTTTTTTACCCATAATTTATAAATATAATAATAAAAATAAAACTCTGCAGAAAATTATAAGAATGAGAGTGAAGTCCCCATATTTGCATCATATAAAATAAGGCATTTTATTTAGACCGTGATTTTCATACCTTTTTTTTTGTTGATTTTTTTCTATTTTTATTTCTTTGTTTTTTGTTTTTTTTGTTTTGTAAAAGGAGAGACAATTGATGGCAAGCCACAATTATCTACCATTTTCGGGGGCAGGGAAGCCACGGTTATTTCTTTGTTTTTTTCCTTGTATTGTTTAATTTATGCAATATAAATGCCATGTTTTTTTCCTCCGCTTTTATTTCTTTGTTCTGGTATTTGATTATTTGATTTATGCAATCTAAATGCCAGAAGAATAGGTAGAAATTCTTTGTGCATGACCAATGACCAAATGTGTATAAATATTATTGAAATATATATTATTTCGTTACGTCTTGTTAGCGACAATAACATCGAAGCATTAATATTGAGATATAAACATTAGAAAAGTTCATCTAATCCTTGGCAAAGATGACTTTTATACTAAAACCATTAGTAAGATCAAAATATAATTTTAGTCCCTTGATACATTAATAACCTCATTTATTAATTACATTTTGATTTTTTAATTATTTCTCTTTTTCTTCCTAACTTTAATGTATTAATTTTATTTTTTTATAATTATAATTTTCATTTCATTTATTGTAACATCCCACATCGCCCAGGGGAGTGGATCCTCTATGCCTTATATGTATATTCTCATCTCTACCTAGCACGAGGCCTTTTGAGAGCTCATTGGTTTTGGGTTCCATCGGAACTCCGAAGTTAAACGAGTTTGCGCAAAAGCAATCTCAGGATAGGTGACCCACTGGGAAGTTCTCGTGTGAGTTCCTAGAAACAAAATCGTGAGGGTGTGGTCGGGCCCAAAGCGGACAATATCGTGCTACGGTGGTGGAGTGGGCCCGGGATGTGGTGGACCCCGAGCCGGGATGTGACAATTTGGTATCAGAGCCTACCCCTGGCCGCGTGTGTGCTGACGAGGACGTCGGGCCCCTAAGGGGGGTGGATTGTAACATCCCACATCGCCCAGGGGAGTGGATCCTCTATGCCTTATATGTATATTCCCAACTCTATCTAGCACGAGGCTTTTTGGGAGCTCACTGGTTTCGGGTTCAATCAGAACTCCGAAGTTAAGCGAGTAGCGCGCGAGAGCAATCCCATGATGGGTGACCCACTAGGAAGTTCTCGTGTGAGTTCCCATAAACAAAACCGTGAGGGCGTGGTCGGGGCCCAAAGCGGACAATATCATGTTATGGTGGAGTCGAGCCCGGGATGTGGTGGGGCCTGGGCGGGGATGTGACAATTATCATAATATATTTTGTTATAAACATTTAGATAAACTAATTTTTGTTATAAAATATACTTCGACGTACTTTGTCTTCTTCATTTAGGTATATTAAATTCATTATAATACAATTCGGTGCATACATTTAGGTACACACATTTCAATACAAACATTTAAGTACATTAATTCAATATAATACATTTAGGTACTAACATTTTGGTGCATACATTTCGGTACATTAATTTAATATAATACATTTCGGTGCATATATTTCAGTACATACATTTCGGTACTAACATTTAAATACATTAGTTCAATATAATACATTTCGGTACTAACATTTAGATACATTAATTGAGTCTTTCAAGTTTGAAGAGTGTTAAATAAATTTAAAATAAAATAAAAACTTTTTTTTTATTTTAAATTTATTTTAACACTCTTCAAACTTGATTTTTGGTAAAAAAAATTAAAATTTGTATATTAATAAATTTAAATATTTAATGGGAGACATTAAATAAAATGCATATTAATTATTTTGAATTGAAGACACATCAAGGGACTATAATCAATATGTAATCAAATTTATTTTAAATTTCAATCTTCTTGAATTATTAAAGTTAAAAAACCAACATTTAGTTCACTCTAGATGATGAATATAAACAATTTCTGTTCGTTTCAAGGCTAGACTGTTAATTCCGAACGAAAAAAAGAAAAAATATATTCAACTATTTGTATTAAGGTACTGTGTAACGGACAGAATTTTCGGCACACCGAAAAAATTCTCATTGGACCGAGATGGTTTCATTCATGTGGGATTGTGACTGGTATGACCTTAAAGAGCATCAACAACATATTAAAGACAAAGATTATGACAGTCAAAGTTTTTAGCTTTTCATTTTAAATTTCATTGTGTCGATTTGGGAACTGAGAAGAAGCTCCACTCACTGCAAATCGATCGATTCCCTTTTAACTTATTTATAAATTACCCGAAACAGAAAAGCGGTTCAATCCCCACTTCCTTGAACCTCTTTGGAGGTAAGATCTTTGTTTCTTCTGGCCCTGGTATTGCTAATTAGTTTAGATTTTGCTTAAAAGTTAAGCACTTTTTTCTGTCCAGCTTGAGCTACCTTTACGTTTCATTCTATTTATAGCAAATACAGTGGATTTTTGGATAAGGGTTTTGTTGAAATTAGCAAACAAATCGCCTTTAACTTTTTTTGTTCCTGATGAATTTTTGTAAATTTCTATTGAGTTGTTGCTATTAAACAGATTGAAAGATTCAATCTTGGCTTGGTTCTTCTTGTAAATTATTGAGATTTAGGATGCGATTGTTAAGAGGATTGACATTGGATCGGATAACTCGGAAAGAAATAGATAGCAACTTCGAAGATAAAAGATTAATTAATTACTAATGAAGGAATGTTTTCCCGTCTAATACCACAACAATAATAGGATTAGAAGGGCTAACTTCGTTCATGACTACCCAATCGTTTACCTTCAATTCGGACAAAATTTGGAAGTTGTCCTTATTTCTAACGAACGCAGCCTTACAGTTCACGTAAAGTTGCAATACTGCTGCACACTGATCCTTATATAGAACTTGTTGTTTGTTTTACTGTTTGCATTCAAGCTGTTTGGTCCTGGTCTAATTCGGTCTCTAAGTTGGAATCTTTATTAAATCTAATTGTGCAACCGGAATTGGTTTTCGTGTTCAGGTCTTTTCGTTTAGCTAAATGGAATTGGCCCGTATTGATGCTACGGTTAACTATCATGAGTAAGATCTTCAGCTTCTTATGATACAAGCGATATTCTACTTTAAACTAATATAGATTACGGGGTTCAAATCTGAGTGCACAGGAGGGAGCACATCCAGTCTTAAGTTGGAAAAATGGCAATGGCTTCTCCAGTCAAAGTGTTTCTTGGCTCGATTGCTTTTGCAGTCTTTTGGGTGTTGGCTGTGTTTCCGGCTGTCCCTTTCTTGCCAATCGGTAGGACTGCAGGGTCCCTCCTCGGGGCAATGCTTATGGTTGTTTTCCAAGTCTTAACTCCTGATCAAGCATACGCTGCTATTGATCTCCCAATCATCGGTCTTCTGTTCGGGACAATGGTTGTGAGTATGTATCTCGAAAGAGCAGATATGTTCAAGTATTTGGGCAAGTTGCTCATGTGGAAAACTCAAGGGGCAAAGGACTTGCTTTGTCGAATCTGTTTGATTTCGGCAGTTTCGAGCGCTCTCTTCACCAATGACACCGCTTGTGTGGTTTTGACCGAGTTTGTTTTGAAAGTTGCAAGACAACATAATCTCCCACCCCATCCTTTCCTACTGGCCCTTGCCTCGAGTGCAAACATTGGGTCTGCAGCAACCCCGATCGGCAATCCTCAAAACCTTGTTATAGCTGTTCAGAGTAAGATATCTTTCGGGACATTTGTGATTGTAATTCTCCCTGCAATGCTTGTGGGAGTCTGTGTGAATGCTTTGATTCTTCTATGTATGTTCTGGAGATTGTTGTCTGTCCAGAAGGATGAGGAAGATCCAGCTCTGGGACCTGTTCCAGAGGAGGATGTAAGTTATCATCTGTTTTCACCAGTTACATTGTCACGTAGTGCATCCTTAAACTCTCAACAACTGAACTCTAGATTGGAAATCCCGACTCTACAAAGTTCTCCGAATCTTAAAGTGAGCATAGGTAATGTCGAGACTCTTAGAAACCGCTTACCTTCTTGCAAGAATGAAGCGAACAAGGTACCTAGTGGTGTGATAGAGTCTGCAAGAATTTTAAGTGCATCAAAAGAGGAGACGAATGATTTGTCTTCTCATAAAAGGGACGAAACAATCCCATCAAAAAGGTCTCCATCGAATGATAGACAAACAGATGCATTTCCTAAGGAGTCGTTGGAAGGGAAGGAACATCTGACCAAAAGATGGAAAAGGATATTGTGGAAATCTGGTGTTTACCTTATTACCATAGGAATGCTGATTGCACTGCTTATGGGCTTCAATATGTCGTGGTGTGCGATTACTGCTGCACTTGCTCTGGTTGTTCTTGACTTCACGGATGCCAGTCCAAGCCTAGAAAAGGTAAGTTTCACAAGCACGAAGTACACTCCGGACGTTAGATTAGATTACAAATGTAACAAGTTTCTTTCTTTCTTTGACAGGTTTCCTATTCACTCTTGATTTTCTTCTGCGGAATGTTTATAACCGTCAGTGGATTCAACAAGACCGGCATTCCAAGCGATCTTTGGGACTTCATGGAGCCGCATGCGCAAATTGATCGTGCTAGCGGCATATATGTTCTTGCAGTCACCATACTTGTGCTGTCAAATTTGGCTTCAAATGTACCAACTGGCGCTGATATTATTTTCCGTTTGCACTCTATAAGAACCAGGTCGCACTGGGTGCGATGGCAAATGTCTTCGTCCGTGAGCGGTAGGTCTCGGGTTCGAGACTTGGGAGCAGCCTCTCCATAAATGGGGGTAAGGCTAGCCGACATTCACCTCTCCCAGACCCTGCGTAAAGCGGGAGCCTTGTGCACTGGGTACGACCGACCGACTCTATAAGAACCAAAATATTCTCAAACTTTCAGCAGCCACTTAACATGCACGTTTTTTTTTCTTTTGTGTTGGATAGTTTTGTTGCTTGGAGGGCGGGTGGCAGCGTCGGCGGCCCTAATCTCTGCCGCGGAGGAGAAGAAGGCGTGGCTCCTATTAGCTTGGGTGAGCACCGTGGCTGGAAACCTGTCGCTTATGGGATCAGCAGCCAACTTGATAGTGTGCGAGCAGGCTCGCCAATCTCCACAACTTGCCTACACATTGTCCTTCTGGAGCCATCTGAAATTTGGAGTCCCCTCCACTCTTATAGTCACTGCTATTGGTTTAACACTAATTTGTATAGTTTGATTTCTACCTTTGTATGGGCAAGCCTGAAAGATTGCGCCTTTATAACCAAAATGTCAAAGGTTTGAGTCGTGAAAATAACCTCTTTGCAAAGCAAAGACAAAGATGCTATAATATTTATATATATGTTAATACAATCATCATCCAACGGTTGATATAATTCGTATGAATATATGTATTCCTATTAAATACATGTAAGTATCAAACTTTTAATGAAACTTAAAACCAACAAACTTTGGTATGTATTTTATGGTTTATGTTGTAGGTAGAATTATAGCACACGTGTAATTGTGTAAATCTTAACTTATTGTATTAGGATTCCTTACATAATATGGAAGATCTTAGACTTTCTTAATTGTAGCTCAAGTAAGCCCATTATGTTTTTTTATTTTTTTAACAAATGATAATATCTACACTAAGAGAGGGAATGAGCTTGGTCTCACAATGTGCTAGGTGGTTCAAATTCGCCTTTGACGAGAATCGAACCTAAGACGTCTAACTTACACGTGAAGAGGAATACCATTAGACCATAGTGCTAAGTGGTAGTAAGCCTGTTATGTTACAATACATAAAGGCAAAAGATAGTGTGAAAAGACACAAAATTTTCCTACCCCTTTCTTTTCTCTCATTCTCCCTCTCTTTCTTGCACCCTCTTTTTATCTGTCCTTCAGTTAAATTTAGGCTGTTTTTTCATTAACGTCGCTTTGAGTTCTATTTTTAATTAAAAGTTTGTAACAGTTTTACATGTGGATATCCCCTAAAACATAATGATTTTCTAAGAAAAATGAGAAGACTATTTTGTCATGTCATGGCAGCTATCATAACTTGGAACTTAGAAGCCATTTCAAGTATGATTCAAGTAACATTGCATCAATGAGTTGTGAAATTTTTTAGACTATATTCATCTCCCTTGGAGTCAATTTTTTTTAGTGTGACTATTATTCTGTCACGTAATACTATTAATTTAATGATTTCATCTGCTTATTAATCCACTTCTACTAACAATTCTTACAAAATCATGTCAACAATCTATATGGTAACACATAAATTCATAACATTACGTGAAAACATGACCATTGTCGATCCCGACTTGGTCCCAACATAAAGCAAAGCCAAATCTCTACATAAGAAAAGGATTGTGGAAACATGACACCTACGATCCATGGCCCCACAAATTTTAGCTTGAATAAGCTTAGTAGGAATAGGATCCTCTCCGGATCCTCTTTGTGGGGATCCAGATGATCAATCAATTGTGTCCGTTCATCGTACATCGTACAGTTAAAAATCATTTTAAATTTTTTATATAAAATTGAAGATAAATAGTACCTAACGAAAACTGGCCGCACGATATACGATAAACGGACACGATTGATTAATTTCAAGATCCCTACAAATAGATCCGGAGAGGATCCTTGTCCAGTTTAGTACATCTCCCCTTGTGTGCAGGTTGGCCATCGTTCATCTCCCATCACCAAACTCTTGCCTTATGTTTGGCAAAATAATTGGTACAAAATACAAAACATCCAGAATTTTCTTTCAATTCTTTTTGTCAGACCAAGGCTTAGGTTCGAATTTCGCTACTAAAAATCTCTCTTGTGAGCTATCTGTAAAAATAAATACCAAGGACATTTATAGTAATGCCCTAGCCTTGAGATGGGTAGCGTTCCCTGCCCTTAAGCTTTTAAATACCAAAGAAAATCAATCCTACTTCCTAAGAAATTAATTTAGTATTATTTTCCATAATATATATATATATATATATATATATATATATATATATATATTATAACCTAAAAATATCTTGATTCCAATAAATATATAAAAATCACTAAACCGGCACCATAAAATTCGTGGAACACTACGAAAAAATATGAAACACATAAAATATATTTTTTTAATTACTTTAGCCGTTAGATTTAAATTTGGACCATTAGATTTTTTTTTTACTGTTGGATTTGATCAAATTAGATCTTAGTCGTTGAATTCGATAAATTTATAAATATAAAACAAAAAAAAAACAAATATATGGTGGGCCAACCCCACTAACTCAGAGGGGAATCCTGGGCTAAATTGCCCTATAAATGAGTTTTGGGTTTTAACTCATATTTGCCCAAAGTGTTGGAGCAAGTTGGGATAAGTTTAGAATCTAAAATTTGAGTTTTACTCCAAGGGTCGGAGTATGTCTAATAAAAATAAAACTGTAGACATCGAAATTTCGGTAAATAAATGTTGACCGATAAATCAAAGTTTCAACGCTCATGTATTACATAAATTTTACACGTAGCGTGTGTCTAAACGAAAATTGAAATGAGTTGGAAAAGTCATCAAATAGGACACGTGTCAACACCTGGCAGAAACGACTTATTTCATCTGGGATATTATATTCAAAATTAGGCCTTGGAAAATTCTATAAATACAAGCCCATTTCATTCATTTGGGGGGGGGGGGGGAAGAAAACCAATTCATATTACACCTTGAAGCTCTGAAGCTCTAAAACTCCGAAGCTCTCAAGCATCCAGGTTCCCGAAGAATCAAGAAAGCTCTCTTCGTTCTTCGTTCTTCGTTCATCGTTCTTCCAAGATCAGGCCCCAACGGCCTTTTGGATTAACAATCATCCACTAATTCAAGATCAAGCCCCAACGGCCCTTGAAGAAAGCATCATCGTTCATCATCCGTTCATCTAAGATCAAGCCCCAACGGCCTTTTGGATCAACAAACATCAACAAATCCACACGTCCAACCGTTCTTCAAGATCAAGCCCAAAAGCCCTTGGAGATCCGTTCATCACTGTTCTTCAAAGATCAAGCCCAAAAGCCCCTTTGAAGATCCGCTCAAATCCACCTTCAAGATCAAGTCCACGGCCCTTGAAGAACGCTCATCCTTAGATCAAGCCCAGCGGCCCTTTGGATCAATCGCACATCCACAAATCAACACCTTACGGAGATTGAATCAGAGGATCAAATTTGAGAGAGATTGTAACCCAAAATCATCAAATACAAATATTTGTTTGTGCACGTTGTTCTTGTCTCTTCGTTTCAGGAATTTTCCGTGTTCACAAATTGGCACGCCAAGTGGGACATCTCTACCTCTCATCTCTTTCTCCGTTCAAGGAATCCAAACACACCTCAAAGTCAATGGCATCAAGCAAGGGACAAGCCATTCTCGCAACCACTGAGGGAAGGATCCTAAGCACTTCTGCCGCAAACGGACAATCCATTGGCGCCACAACCGCTCCTCAACATGCCACTTCAAAGTTGGTGCCGCTAAAAGAGCAAGGGGAGCATCAAAGGTGTGAGTCTGTCATCAACCTGACCTCGCTGGGGGCACCGAAGCATGCTGCTGAGGCACACAAGATGACACCCCAAAACAGCCAACAACGTTCTTCGTCAGCATCCTGGATGTCTAAAGGAAAGTCACGTTTATTGGTTGCACAAGTCATAACCATCGGCGTTACCTCCATCGAAGAACAACTGGCTCAAATGAATGAAGCGATCGCAAGGCTAACATGGATTGTTGAAGAAAAAAACTTGCAAATCGCTGCACTCGTCAGCCGACTGGAGCCACAGGACGACGAGAACCCCGACCTAGAGAATGATCCACTAAAGAAAAGAGATGACGAAGAAGAGGAGCCTCAGGTGGAGAAAAACGATGTGAAGCCGGAGCCAAACCAAGCAGCGGCACTCATGGGATCTCTTTTTATCCAGCAGCTGCAGGAGATGATCACCAACACCATCAAGGCACAGTACGAAGGGAGCTCACATACCTCCTTGTTCTACTCGAAGCCCTATTCCAAGAAGATTGATGCCCTAAGGATGCCAAGGGGTTATCAACCACCGAAGTTCATGCAGTTTGATGGAAAATGAAACCCAAAGCAGCACGTTGCACATTTCGTCGAAACTTGCAACAACGCAGGGACGGAGGGAGACTACCTCGCCAAGCAGTTTGTGCGCTCGCTGAAAGGAAACGCATTTGAGTGGTACACAAACCTAGAGCCTGAGTCCATCAACAGCTGGGAGCAATTAGAGCGGGAATTCCTCAACCGCTTCTACAGCACCCGTCGCACTGTGAGCATGCTAGAGCTAACGAGCACAAAGCAGTGGAAGGACGAGCCAGTCATTGACTACATCAACAGATGGCGCACTCTAAGCCTCGACTGTAAAGACAGGCTCTCGGAAACCTCTTCAATCGAGATGTGCACCCAAGGCATGCAATGGGGTTTGCAATACATCCTTCAAGGCATTAAACCGCGGACTTTCGAGGAATTGGCCACTCGCGCCCATGACATGGAGTTGAGCATCGCCCATCATGGGAAGAAAGAACCGATCGCCGACTACAAGAACGACAAAGTTCTTGGGCCAAAGTTGGAGAAGACTACGTGGAAACCCACCAAGGAAGCAATGACGGTCAACACAACTCCCGTCAAAATCCCTACACGAGGCAAGGCGATTCAAACTGAAGCTTTTCGTGATCAAGAGATGCGTAGACGCACTTTGAAGGAGCTTGAGGAGAAGACTTATCCATTCCCCGACTCTGATGTGGTTGCCATGTTAGAAGACTTGCTGGAAAAGAAGGTGATCGGCTTGCCTGAGTGCAGACGGCCAGAAGAGATGAATCTCACCGACAGTCCAAGGTACTGTAAATTCCACCGCTTCATCAGTCATCCGACAGAAAAATGTTTCGTGCTGAAAGATCTCATCATAAAGCTGGCTCAGAAAGGAATCATCGAGCTAGATCTTGACGATGTGGTGAAGTCAAACTATACCACCTTCACTTCTGGCTCTTCCGACTCAAAGTTTTCACCTCAACCGCTGGGGGCATCCTCCAAGACAAGCAAAGTTGAAGGATGGACTCAAGTCACTCCTAAGAAATTGCACAAGAAGCATACGTCTCCTCCACAAGTCCGCCAATCGGAAAGGGGGCAAAGCAGCTCTTGTCAACCTTCAAAGCAACGTGAACGTGTTGAAGATGATGAAATTTCGACACATAGATCGTCCATCCCCATCACGATGCGTGATTTCTTTCCTGAAGACTTCTTCAACTACTCAGTCAAGGCTCCTTGCTATGAAGATTGCGAGGAACAACTCTCTCAGATCGCTTGACGAACCAAAGCTCCTTGTTTGCATGAGCCTAAACTGCACGAACCAAGGCTCTTCGCCTGCATGAGCCTAAACTGCATGGCACAATGCTCCTG